AAATCATTATGTTAAAAACTATTACTATTTTTACCTCTCGAAATGCGGGAAGCAACTAATCCTTCCGTGGCCCATTACAGAAATCAAGAACATTCTGCAATAAATTAAAGAAAATTATATTTAATGGTATCAAATGTGTTTGTGCCAAATATAATTTAAATAGTTGTACAACAATAACAACATAATGCTGGTGCTAAATTATTAGCTATCGGAAGATTCCGAACAGTCAGTCTCACTTGAACCCCACCTTTCTGGTTCAAATATATTAGGTTTTCTACTAACAGATTTGTTGTTACTATTTCTCATGATCCGTACTTCGCAATCCCTTTCCGCATCTAGTAATGCACTCAGCGTTCTCTAATAGATTTGCTAGGTTATGCATGCTTTGTATACTCACTCCAGATGGCCCTCGCGCTATTTAAAACGTGCTCAACTTTGTAATGGTTTCTGAATAAGAAAACAGAAGAAAAATTGTGATGATAGTTGAGTAAATGTACTGAGATACTCCCATAGTAATTAGATTTAATATGGATGACTCAAAGTAGAATATTTTTTGGTATTTCTATGTGCAATTAAAGTTTAAATTTTTGTTCAGATGACCCAGCAACACGCAGTTTGGCATCAAATGGGCCACATGTGACCCGCGGCTGCAGGTTTCCCAGGCCTGGTCTATTATATGTCGCCATTTTTCATAATCAATAAGGTGTTCATTAAATTTACGAAACCATATATATAAAATATTGTTTAATTTTTGTTCGACATATTTGTTTTTGGTAAATGAATTTTTATCAGCCACCCAGGGGGCTGTTGTTTTAGGTGGGGCGTTTTGACATTCCAAATTACTTTTCAATTTTTTATAGTTTGCTTCAATTTTAATTAAATTTAGCTGAAATATATTCAATTTAATGATTTATCGTTCTCTTTAATTTTAATTACGTGTAGCTGGTATAACATTCAATTTTATAATTATTTATCGTTTGCTTCAATTTTAATTGCATGTAGCAGATACAATATTCAATTTAATAATTTATCATTTGCTTTAATTTTAATTACATTTAGCTTCAATGTATTCAATATACTAATTTATTGTTTTTTAAATTTTAATATCGGAAAAGTTTACTAGCGTCCATTTCTCGATATTTCATCATTTTCTTTAATTCTTATATTTAACTGAGTAATTTAATAATAATTATAAAAAAAAGCACACCTTGAGTGGCTATGCGTGTTCTTTGTAAAACTTTGCATGGAATTTTTTTTCTTAATTTGGCCAACAACAGAAAGAGACACAAATTTTTCGAACAATTTCTTTTACGAATTTTTCAATCTTGCTTTTACTGTTTTAAGTAAATTAATTCGTTGTATAAATTATTAAATTTTAAAAGATTACTTAGTTTAGGCTTTTAAATAATTAAAACAAATTTTTTTGAAAAAGTAACTTTTTGTAAATTCTTTAGATTGTGACTTTGGACTATTGGCAAATTTCTCTTCACTTATCTCGTGGACTTTATACTCCTTAGATCCAAGGTCAACTTTGAACCATAAATTTTAGAATAGTTTGTATCAATCGGTTCTAAATGCATGAAAAAGTACTGAAGAAATGTTAAAAAAATTATTTTCATTTTTATTTTTGAGAAATTAAGTGTCTCCTGGAGGAGACATTGGGACAAAGTGACATCATAATATTGATTTAAAATATTTTTAATCTTAATTTAATAAGTAATTCATAATAATTACCATAATGAACATAATGTAAAATTTGAATCTTAAAATATGCCTGTCCGAACTGTTTGCAGAAGAATCCTAATTTCCAAAATTCATCATTCGGGTTTTTTTTCTCTCTATCTTTATTTTATACTATTAAATAATTTCTCAATTTTAAGTTGTTTCATACTGAAAACTCGTGATATCCAAGAAATGTTGTCTGCGAGTACGGGAATTCTAGTTTCTTCTGCCCAATACATTCGAATTCTGCGAAATTTTAAATTAGACATAATTACAGTGATCGCTAATTATGTTTCATTTCCTTTTCTGAGAGATACAAATTCTTTCCTGTATCCTTTAAATATCTACATTTGGTGAATTCAGTTAGCAATTAAAGAATATCATTCCGAGCTGAAATATATGCCGTAATTATAGTTTCAAATCGAGGGATTGTAATAGCTATTGTACCAATGTCTACTACAGGCGACACTGCATTCTAAATCAGAAGTGGAAAGATTTTAGTACGAAACTAAAAATGTTATATATAAACAGCAAGTTTAATGCGTTCAACAGTGTGTTTAATAATTCTTTATTACACAAATAATAAAAAAATATGAACACTTAGAGAAAAGCAAGGGTATAATTTTCTTTCTCTCGGAAAACACCATTTTCATTTTACCATAAATAAGCAACGAATGCAAAATGTTCACCAAAAATCATTTTTTTTTCAGAACTAACCATCTATTAACAAGAAAATTAACTGATTCTGTGTACCAATGACGTCTTTTATTTAACATGGCAGCATTTCTTGAAAGTGTTATTCAGTTTCTTCTACAGACGACGCCGGGACTGAGGGGGTTATAGTAAATTGAATTACACAGATTCGCAATTTCTTCCAAACCGAAATCAAACGTGATTAGGTAAATAAGATGAATATAGAAATGAAATGAAGTGACTTAAAGGTAATGATATCTAAATAAAATCGAATTAAAGAGAAACGAAATGAGATGAAGGATAATGACTTGCTGACAGATTTTTATAATTTGCATCGTAATAAGCTTTTTCGATTGATGTGCATTCTAATTAAAGTGTTAAGATAAGTACCCTCTATTAGTGAAAAGCGTTTGAATCAATATAAATGATAAGGTAAGCTGAGATTATATTATTAGAGCATAATATGGAACTGACGAATTAATTGGGATTCGAGAGAGAGCGAACTTATCCATACATATTCATTAGTAATTGTTTTAAAAAGAGTTTTAGCTTGCTCTTGAGATCCCTTAATTTTAGTTCAGTGGTTATTGACTAGTATGCACTGAGATAGGGCTGTACAGTTGAATAATAAAGAAGGGGCGTTACAAGTTTTTTAAATTCAATCAATCATATATGTTGTTATATAATGCTTATTATTACATGTTAGAGATAAGACTTATAATATTATAAAAAATAAAGGTATAATTTCTTAGGGTTCAAAACAATTTGTTTGGTAAGTATTAAAGGGTTTAGATTGTTTTTAAGTTTATTATTATTTTTACTTTATTTTTTATGTATTTGTGTATTTGTGTTCTTTTTTTTTTCCAATTTGAAATTTTATTCACATCTGAAACTGATTATTCCTGGTTTATTCCTTAGCTGATAATGTAAATACTGAAGTATGACGGTTGGATCCGTAAAACTGGTTTAAACACACATTTCCCATTCTATAGGGGGAGACAGAGTTTTGTATAAAATTTTATCTCTTTTTTTGTTTTTCATTATTTATTTTATCTTTTCTTTTGTGGTATGATATATTTTTTGGATAGTTTTTTATTTAACTAAGCTGTATTTTTTAATTAGTGGTTTACAATTTAGGATATCTATTTTAATCATTAAGTAAAATTTATGTCTCAATAAGTATATAAACTTTAACTTTATTTCATTTTAATATTTTACATGTTTCTAGAATAATTTATAAAATTTTTTGTATCGTTAATTTCATAATTTATTGCATTTTTCGTTTAATTCTGTGTAGTACTTGTAGTTTAATAATTTCCGGTATTTAATCATCACTCGCGTTTGTTGATTATAATTCAATACAAAAATTCTTTTAGATTGTATTGGTAATTCTTTTACAACAACAAAAAATCTTTTAATTGTGTATTTGACATTTTCGAAGAATACATGAAGATGCACCAAAGCTCCTCCGATCATGAATTCAGAACCAAGATTCTATGGGATCTCGAAATCAGAATACAGTGTCATTGTCGAAGTATTTTTAACACCATAAAAATAAACAATTTTTTTTTAAAATTCTGCTAGTATTAAAAAACCCTTATTTTCGCAATGATGTCCCTTTGACTTTTCACCCTGCCTTTTACACTTATATTATTTTCAAAGTAGGAATTGAAATGTAATTTAATCGCGCTAGTTTCTGTGTTGCTGCAACAATGTGAAATGAGAATGAGGCACGAAAGCTTAAGAAATAGTTAAAATTATTAAAACAGTGTTGAGATGTGTTGATCACCTTTTGAATGCATGATAGTTCCCCGCAATTAAAAAAGCAGGTTCTTTTCTAGGAAAAATCCAAATTTATTCTGAGGATCTATAGCAAACACACTATATTTCCTCTCAACAGGAGCAATTAACACACCCACATAAAAATATACAGTAGCACCAAATCAAAGTTCGCACAATTAATTGAACACAGTAATTCAAATCACAATGTCGCATTAGCACATACACTACTTGCATACCCTCAGCTGATAAATACACGAATGAAATGTCCTTGAAAGTTCCAGATTCATCAAGGAACATCTTATTTTGTCCTCAAATTTAGCGGAATTTAACGACCAAATTTGTCTCCTAATTAATCTCTTGCCTGTATTTACTTGCATGCATAATGACTATCTGTAAACCGGTATTTTCTTTCAGACTGGCCTTTTTACAGGAAGGACAACAAATACAGAGGTTCCGTGGGTTCCGAACTTTGACGTAATAGTTAATGTGAGTTTTCGATAATTGTTCCATTAGTATAATAGCTTCAAAGCGAATCCAGTTAATTATTTTTGTCCCTTCTTTTAATGATTTTTGATTCCTGGTGTATTTTCCTTGATAAATCTCAAAGTAAATGTTTAGGATTCACACGTAGAGACTTACAAGGAATACGAACTCAAACATTCATTTTATTCCATTAAAACGTATTTAAAATTCTGAGATTTTTTGTGTATCAGAGAGAGAAAGAATGGTGAGACAACGAGTAAGACGGAAGGCCGTACGGTAATAAATATTATTTGAAAAGAAGTGATTTTTGCGTTCTATATGCCTTTACAGTAAGGATGGCCAAGCAATATAAGGCACCAGATTTAAGCTCTTGATTTCAAATAGAGCGTGGGTTCAAACTCCACTCTAGACAAATGTAAGGGGTGTCTTGAAGAACACATGATACATTTTTGTTGGCAATGCTTGCCTAATGATCAAGGTCGCAGGCTCGCTATTGTCGTTGTTTCCATCGAACCTTGTTTTCGAGTTCTGACGCTATTAAAGCCTCGCAGTGTAACGGAGTTGATATACGATCAATTTGTCCAAGTTTCAAGTATTCCCGTTCGCGTGATGTGGAAGTTTGAAGTGGAGTGTTCTTGATCAGATATCATCCCCGTCACTTGATAGAGATTCAAGATTACGAGTTCCATCGCCTTTCATCCTCGTGATGTTTTTAAGTCCAACGTTAATAAAACAATCATAATCATCTTCTGATAAAACAAAATAGTGTAATAAGCACTCGAGACACTATTTGGCTCTTGCACCATATACCTTGCGGCGTTGTGCTATTCGCGTTTTTCTCTTCTCTAACCTCTGATACTTTTATCGAGTTGAATGGTATAAAATTACAATTTCTTCCCAACCGAAATGAAGCGGTATTAGATAAATTAGATAAAGATTGAAATGAAGTGAAGTGGTTTAGATATAATGATGTAAATGAATGATATGCAATTATTGGAAAATAACAACATTATTCTACGTAGTTACTGTCGAAGAAAATTGTGAAATCAACAACACATTGACTAATAAGAAATAGACTTATTTACATCATAAATTAGGACTGTAAGTTAAAGTTGTGTTCTAGAGAGAGAGGCTTTGGATATTCTGCATTGATAATAAATAATTTCGCTTCTTTAATCTTGTGTGTCCACAGTTAGAGTTTCGCAGTTTTTGTTTACTCTATTAGATAGGGATATGGCACAAGAGCCGAATAATGACGGACAATCGCCACAACCTTAAATGTCATTCATTCACTCATTCAATTTCCACACCACTCCAACATTAGAACATTACGCCTCGACAAGCATAAAATATTTCAGCATCGCCGCACGGCGGATTTTAAGTGGCATGAATACTCGAACTCATGGCTCGACTGAATCAACGCTGACCACGAGCTCTCGACCATCACCACTTGACTTCTTCGGCCACGAAGGATATTAAAGTTGCGAGTTTGAAATATCAGTATACTGAAGTCTACCCAAAATTTAAACTCGCCGTATCGTTATCAGCGTCAGTGTTTGTATGAGACAGTTGCAATATATCTTCTACGTGCAGCCTCTCTTTAGTGATCTGATCCTCCAGTTTAACCTAATATCTCCTCTCGACTGTTTAGAGAGCAATATACAAAACTAGAAGTCGTATCTCGTTTCATTTTGCATGAAGCTCTGAAAAGGAACGTGTACTCTTCAGAAGATTTAGAAACGAATGAACAGAAATTAAAATCATACAAACTGGTGTGGTAAAATCAAGAAAGAACCTTTCAATTCTGCTATTGAAATATAAAAAGGTGATGAAAATTTATAAGTAATGATGCTAATAAAATGAGCAATGGCTTATTTCGAGCTCGTTAGAAAACATTCATGATGGAATCGAAATTTTTGTGCGTTGTTAGTTTTCTGTCGTTTTTCCTCTCTCTGCGCTGTATAACATATATATATATATATATATATATATATATATATATATATATATATATATATATATATATATATATATATATATATATCATTAATTGATAAATAAAATGGTTCTTCAACTGAAAAACAATATTATTTAGATCATCTGATCTCAAAAAAAGTTAATGCGTGAATGTACAGGCGTAAAAAATACATAAATAATAGATCTGATAATTTAATTTTAACATGCACTAATGTTTTTTTCTGTTAAGTTCTAGAAAATATAGAATTATTTAAAATGAATATTAATTAACATAAAGTAAGTTTACTTTCAAGTCCCAGGCTCCACAGAAGCAATTACTATCAAGTAAAGAAAATATATTCAAATTTCGATTTTTTTTTTCTATTTCAAAATTTTTATTTTTCCAAGAAAACATTCTAAAGTACAAAGAATTACCAATGTTATCTACACAAAGAGAAAAAGCAGGCGATTTTTCCATAAAAATCAATTATTAAATTTAATAAAGAGCAATCTATAAATTAGTAAAGTAGATAATAATATTCTGTTCAGGTATTAAAATAAAAGCGAACGATTAAATATTAAATTAAATGTATCTTAGCAATGTAATGTGCCACAATAAAACTAAATGTCCTTTTATAATCATAATGTATAATATTGTCGATCTTTTGAACCTAACACCACAAATCCTTTATTTTAAGCCCACGCATTTTTAATGCCTACATTTTCTCAAAACAACTTCATTTCAGCACATGTACAAAATAACTTTTCCATTCATAAAAACTTATGAAATTCTCAACGTATCTGTTTACTGTAATACTTAGGGCTTGATTTATTACCGTAAGGCTCCCAATTACCGGCCATTTTAATTCGTGAATGTTTACTTTCAGCCTTAAATCTAGAATATTTGAATGCAAAAAGTGCATCCAATAGACCAAAAATAATAATAAATTTTCTGCTGAAACATATTTTTACTCCAATTTTTAAAGACATATATATTTTATTTTAATGATTAGTTTGTAGGTTTTCTGTCCTTTAAAAATATTTAAAAATACTTCCAAAAATATTTTTATGTGATCTGAGATCCTTAAGATATAGATAAATTTAATTCAGTCAGGCTCTGCAATTCGATTATAACCGCAAAGACATACAATATATTTCAAAAAACTAGAAACCGTTATCAATATGCTCCGAAAATTATTCAGAAATTTTTATTTAAACTTCTATACATCTCTCTCTTTGAAAGAAACTAATAAATTCATTTACAGGTACTATTTTTCGTAAAAATGGAAATAAAAAATGGAAATTTCTGAAATAAAGATTTGACAATACCGAAAATGAAAAATCTGAGTACTAAGTTATATAATAATGAAATTTATGCATTTCAAATAATTAACTTTTCACAGTAAATGTGTATTTGTAAGTTGCGTTTGAATATTATTACATTTTCGAAGTTACTAAATTTATTCTGATTGTACATGCGGTGCGGGCTTAAATACGTGATCTTAATGTTAATAATTCTTTCCATGTTGCATATAGAATACAAATATTTCCTCTAGTAATATAGATATATGTATGAGTTCAGAATATAAATTTCTATATCCATTCGAAATGTATTTAAATTATATTTTTAAAAGTAAAGCATAGTTTATTGAATTTTAATCCCAGAGAAAAAAAATATTGGATATATATATATATTTTTCATACATTTAATATCATATATTGCATAATAGTATTTTCGTCATAGTTATTCATTCGTCATAGTTCATATTATTATGTCCCCGTGCGAGCGTGATGGTAATTTGTAAATGCTATTTTTCAAAAATGCCTTAATTTTACAGATGTAACTAGACCTTAAGTATCATTATAACATCTGCTCCATTATTGAACTTTTTTTCCCTTCAAAAAATTTACAGGGAAAGAAACAGGTGAAAGTTATATGGCACTCGGTCTGGGGAGTATGGTGAAGAGGACAGAATTCCTCATCCTTTTCTCTCTCTGCTCTACTACTTTATGGTATGGTATTATCAATATGCAGTACGACATGGTTCCTATTGAGAATAATGAGCCTCTTTTTAACATGTAAAAAAATTCAGAGGCATAAAATAAAAAATACACAGTGTTAGATTGAAAAGATTGACTTTATAATACATTATGATTGTATTAATTACATTTAGTTTGCTTGAAGTATATTTACATTGTTAAAATATATTTAATTTAATATTTTGTCGTCTGCTTTTATTTAAATATAAGAACAGAATATTATTATTGTTTACTTTAATAATTTACCGTTTGCTTCTATTTTTTTTAATATTTAATTTGAATTGATTTTTTGACAGAATCGTCTGTTTATATCCTTTTTGTTGTTAACATTAGCAACGGTTTTGAATTTTAAAATATTTCGCTTGTGAAAATCAAAATGCATCAAGAATTTGGAGAAGACTTTTTCTTTTTTTGATAGTATTTGCTTTTTTTTGAGCCTAGGGCTCGAAAGTATGCTTACTTTACGCAAATTAACATTCATTTTGAATAAATTGACTTTTTCCAGAACTTAACAAAATAAAATCTTTTGTACTGATTAAAATGAAATTAACAAAGCCTATTTCTATCTTAACTAAACCATCCATTTGTTGACAGGGTCTCTCGGAATTGAGCTTTTCATAAGGTTTAAAATGCTTGTAATTTATTAATCCTTGGACGTCTCAATCTACACACAGTTTTCTCTTATTCATGCTCAAACTCGTGTTAGAGGTGGAGGGATATGTTGTCCTGTGTCACAATATGTTTTTTTCTTTAGAATATTTTGGAATGTGACCCCATTTCATCACCTGCGATCATCTGATCAAGAAGGATTCGTTTTTGTTCTAAGTATGCAGAGATGTGGATTTGATGACTTGGTATACTCTATGAGGCACTCCATATTAAATTTTATTAAATATATGAAAAATGTATTGTTTACTTTTACTTTGTAAACGGGCAAAAACTTTCCGGGATACCTAATATTATAATACATAATGAATTTATGAAAATTTGTAATTAATAAAACTAATTAATTGAAATTAATTTAAATAGTTATTAGTAAAATTAATTAAAAATTATACTCATTTTAAAAGAATTAAGTTATTAGCTTAAGTTATTAGCTAAAATACATTTTGAGATTGATAAGAGTATTGTTGATCATTTCAATAATAAGAAGGAGGTATAGTAATATTTCAAGTATTAGTTATTATGAAATAACCGAGATAGCTTCGAGGATAAAATTTATTCTGCATATTAGTTGATATTTGGGGACATGATGTTGTAAATGAGAACTTTTCACGTTGATCAGTTTGACTTCAGGACGCCGCAGAGGGCAGTAACTCGCCGTATGGAGTTCAAACTGCTGAGTTCTACAATGACGTGCTTCTAAAGGTCTATAGAAGCTGGGATAATTGTATAGCTCTAGATTGCGACTATGTA